ACTCCTGTCAGCCAGCTGCTTAGTTTTAGATGTCACAGGATGGTCACCATCTCCCCTCTGCACCTCGGCTCTCTCGCCACTGCCAGCACCACAAACTGAGAGAGACACTGGACATTCTGTGGGGCGAACAGATCATTGCAAGGGTGCGACTCTCCAATACCCTCTGTGGATTGTGTCTCCGTAGACAGAGTCTGTAGAGATAAAAGTGTCCCTGGGGGCACAGATAACCTGGGCTTGTGATCAGGAGCCTAGCGCCTGGGAGGAAGGAGCCCCCCTGTAGGAGCTGCACAGTGGAAGGCGGTCATCAAAAATGCGCCTTTCACTTTGGCTCAGACAGCAAACCAGTTTCCACTCCTCAGCCCGAGTAGTGAGGGACCATATTTCAGTCTTGGATCTCCTCTTGGCCAACCCAAGAGTAATTTAAGCCATTGCTACCACTTTATGCTCTACCAGGCTTAACACCAAAGTCTCCCCCTCATTATAAGGCTACATTATGATATGATACATTACAATACAGTGTGTTAATATCTGATCAATTCTTCTGTAGGGCTATGGTTCCACCAGACAATTCAACAAATGATTCAAAGACCAAAACAAGGAAAACTTAGGCTGATGGGCACATAAACTGAATCCGACACTATTTCAAATGGAACATCATCTTTAAGAGACAACACAGCAGGGATGGAAGTCCTGAAAAAACAATGTGTGACATTTCTTATTTCCTCTACTAAGCTTCAAAATCAAATGGGTAGATTATTGTGCCAAAGTTCAATTTGGCTTTGGATAAATTTTGGCTATTTATCCATTTGTTAAAAAACAAGAATGAAATGCACACTTCTTTTTCCTATGAATCGGCACAGCCCTGATTGGCTCCTTGAGCTCACAGTGAGCCAGGTGCAAGGGCTCTGAAGATGGGGCTGAACGTGCTGGCCTGATTCACACACAGTTAGGAGAAAGACTTTTTTCAGCATTTTTCAGGATATATCTTGGGCTGTGTGCCTAACAGAAACATCAAAAATATCCAGCTTGGCTCCATCCTCTTCTTTTGTGCTATAGCTATACAGTTGCAGGATACTGGCTTCTTCTTGGTATATGGAAAGCACAGCAGCTTGTAAAACATAGAGGCATTGGAGCGCTGGGGATGCCATCAAGAAATAAAAGGTGAAGTGCTAGGTACAAGCATGGGCAATGGTTTAAATTAGTGACTGTGCATGACTTAAAAATGTAAGGAATGATTTGAAGTGGAATGGGTCTTTTTAAATTTTCACAACAGGACAACTGATTGAGTGATTTATTTGAGTTAGTAGTATTAACAATTAGGGCTTTTTTAGACAAGAGGAAAAAAAAAGAGTTACAGAAATCCAATGGTCTCCCAAATTGATCTGATTCTCCCAATAATTAGATTTTCCTGCATTTTCCTCTTCTAATTGATCTTGAAGCATCAACCATGACTTCTTCTGCGTAGCCAAAATGGTTTTGTGAGTCCCAAATGGTACACCATGTCTATCCATGTGGAAGAGAAAAGTAAACCAGACAAGGAAAGCCATAAATATCACACAGGCTGAGGAAGGCAGACATTTTCTACATTTTTTAAGTGGTTATTTATTTTTAATTGAATTTTCTACATTTTTAAATCAAGTGAAGTTCATTCAAGGGAGGGAGGAATTCTGACTGTCTAGAAGATCTTAGGTGGGGCTGATCTGAGCAGAGGCAGTGAGATTTGAGGAACAGTGAGGCACTGAAGGGGCCTTCACTGTTAGAATGACTGTTACCAAGAAGACAGGACAGGAGGGTTCCCAGGATGGCGGAGTAGAAAGAGCCTGAGCTGACCTCCTCTCACACCAAAGCTATAACTATTTACAGAACAACTATCAATGAAAAAGACCAGAATCTACCAGAAAATATCTTCAACAACTAAAGATATAAAGAAGGAGCTGTAATTGTGGCAGAACTGTGATAGTCAAGACCCCCTACCCCCTGGTGGGCGACCCACAGACGGGAGAGTAATTACACTGCAGAGGTTCCCCAAGGAGCAAAGGGTCTGAGCAGCATGTTGGGCTCCCCAGCCTGGTGGTCCTACACCAGGAGGATGAGTCCATAGAATGTTGGCTTTGAAGGCCAGCGGGGCTTATTTTTGGGGGTCCTAGAGAGCTGGGGGAAATAGACTCTACCCTTAAAGGATGCACACAAAACCTTATATGCTCCAAGACCCTGGGGAGAAGCAGGAATTTGATAGGAGCCTGGGTCAGACGTACCAGCTGACCTTGGAGAATCTCTGGGAAAGGCAGGAGGCAACTGGTGGTCACCCTGGGGACACAGACACAGGTGGCAGCTATTTCTGGGAGCTCTTCCTACACATGGACACTGGTGCTGACAAGTACCATTTTGGAATCCTCCCTCTAGCTTATTATCTTCAGGACCCAGCCATGCCCATCTTCTAGCCTGTAGGAACCTGTATTGACCAATCAACTAACTGGGCAAAGACACAGCCCTATCCACCAGGAGACAGGCTGCCTTAAGACCCTCTGAGCCCACAACTTCCCCTGGACACAGCCCTGCCCACTGCCCAACAGAGGGCCCAGGACCTGGCCCCACACACCAGTGCACAGGCACTAGAGCTGGGACCCCCAGGGTCCTGCAGCCAGAGACCCCAGGACCAGCCTCACCCACCAGTGGGCAGACACCAGCCCCAGGAAAACCACAGTGCCACAGCCTGCTGTGGCAGGACCCATTAAACCCACCAGCAGGCCAACACCAGCTCTGGGCCCCCTGGTCCCTGCAGCCGGACCCCAGGACCCAGTTCTGCCTGCCAGTGGACCAGCACTAGACCTAGGACCTGGCTTCTCCCACTAGTGGGCAGAGACCAATCCCAGGATTTCTTGATCCCAGACTCCACCCACCAGTGAGCCAGCACTAGCCCTGGGTCCCCCAGGATTTTACAGCCAGACACCATGTGACCTGGGCCCTCCAATCAGTGGCCAGCAGCCTCCACACAAGACAGGGCCCAACAACCAACCTGACCTGGGACCTGCCAAACCTAACAGACCACTCACAGTAGTCAGCCTTTTACAACAGAAGAATCCATGCAGCCCACATAGAGGGGGACCCTGGAGCAAACAGCTCTGCTGATGAGAAGGGAGCAGCTTACCACAGGAAACAAGAAAAAGTCAAATAAACAAACTAATATTACACCTAAAGGAATTAGAAAAAAGAAGAAGAACAACAAAAAAATCAGTAGAAGGAAAGAAATCGTAAAGTTCAGTGCAGAAATAAGTGAAGTAGATACTAAAAACACAATTGAAAAGATCAATTAAACAAACATCTTGTTCTTTAAAAAGATAAACAAAATTGATAACCTTTAGCCAAACTCATCAAGGAAAAAGAAAAATGAGAGAACCTGAATCAAGAGAGTCAGAAATGAAAAAGGAGAAGTTACAGCTGACACTACAGAAATGAAAAGGATCATAAGAGGTCATTACAAACAATAATGTGCCAATAAAATGGAGAGTCTAGAAGAAATGAACACATTCCTAGAAATGTAAAATCTCTCAAGAATGAACCAAGATGAAATAGAATATATGAACAGACCAATTATCAGTACCAAAATTGAATCAGTAATTTAAAACCTGCCAACAAACAAAAGTCCTGGACTGAATGGCTTCACAGGTAAATTCTACCAAATATTTAAAGAAGAGTAAATGGCTATACTCCTAAAACTATTTCAAAAATCTGCAGAGGAAGAAACACTTCTGAACTCATTCTATGAGGCCACCATCACCCTGATAGTAAAATCAGACAAAGACATTACAAAAAAAGAAAATTATAGGTCCATATCACTGATGAGCACAGATGCAGAAATCCTTTAAAAAACATTAGCAAGCTGAATCCAATGATACGTTAAAAGGATCAAACACGTGATCAAGTGGGATTCATCCCAGGGATGCAAGGATGGTTCAATATATGCGAATCAATCAATGTGATACATCATTTTAACAAACTGAAGAATGAAAAGCATATTATCATCTCAATAGATGCAGAAATAGCTTTTAACAAAATTCAACATCCATTTATGATTTTTAAAAAGTGGGTACAGAGGGAATATAACTCAACATAATAAAGATCATATATGACAAACCCACAGCTAACATTAGATTCAACGCTGAGAAGCTGAAAGCATTTCCTCTAAAATCAGGAACAAGACAAGGATAACTACTCTTGCCACTTTTATTCAACATAGTATTGAAAGTTCTAGTCATAGCAATCAGACAAGAAAAATAAATAAAAGGAATTCAAATTGGAAAGGAAGAAGTAAAACTGTCACTGTTTGCAAATGACATGATACCCTGTGTAGAAAATCCTGAAGATGCTACCAAAAAACTATTTGAGCTCATGAATGAATTCAGTAAAAATTGCAGGATACATAATTAATATACAGAAATCTGTTGCATTTCTATATACTAAAAACAAACTATCAAAAAAGAGAAATTAAGGAAATAATCCCATTTACAATTGCATCAGGAAGAATAAAATACCTAGGGATAAACCTATCCAAGTAGATAAAAGTCTTGAACTCAGAAATCTATAAAACACTAATGAGAGAAATTGATGATGACACAAACATCTGGGAAGACATACCACATTCATGGACTGAAAGACTTACTATTGTTAAAATGAATATACTGCCCAAGGCAATCTACAGATTCAGTTCCATCCTTATCAAAATACCAGTGGCATTTTTCACAGAAGTAGAACAAATGCTTTAAAATTTTAATGAAAATATAAAAGAACCTGAATAGCCAAAACAATCTTGAGAAAGAAGAACAGAGCTGGAGGAATTACATGCCCTGATTTCAGACTATACTATATACTACAAAGGTATAGTAATCAAAACAGAATGACACTGACACAAAAACAGACACATAGATCAATGAAACAGGATAGAAGGTCCATAAGTAAACCCACACACTCATGGGTCAATTAATCTAGGACAAAGGAGGCAAGAATATACAATGGAGAAAAGACAGTCTCTTCAGTAAGTGGTGCTGGGAAACCTGGACAGCTACCTGTAAAAGAATAAAATTAGAACATTTTCCCACACCATATACAAAAGTAAACTCATAATGGATTGAAGATCTAAATGTAAGGCTGGAAACCATAAAACACTCTCACATAATTTACAGTAGTATTTTTTTTTCTGGAGGGGATCTGCCTCTTAAGGCAAAGGAAACAAAATCAATAATAAATAAATGGGACCTAATTAAACTTAAAAGCTTTTGCATAGCAAAGGAAACCATCAACAAAATGAAAAAACAATATACAGAATGGGGCAAAATATTTGCAAATGATATGACTGACAAGGGTTACTATCCAAAATATATAAACAGCTCATACAGCTCAATATCAAAAAATAAATAACGCACTATTGGTGGGAATGTAAATTTGTGCAGCCACTTTGGAAAGCAGTATTGAGGTTCCCTACAAAAACTAAAACCAGAACTACCACACACACACACACACACACACACACGAATGCTATTCAGCCATAAAAAAGAATGGGATTTTGGTATTTGCAAAAACATAGATGGACCTTGGAGTTATTATGCTAAGTGAGATAAGTCAGACAGGGAAAGAAAAATACTGTATGACGTTACTAATAGGTGGGATCTAAAAGAGCCAAACTCATAAAAACAGAGTAGAGTTGTGGTTATCAGGTGCTGGGGTGGGGAAGTGGGAAGATGATATTTAAAGATACAAATTTAGAACTAGCTCAGGAGGGCTAATGCATAACATAGTGATTATTGTCAACAATCTGCATTAGAAACTTCAAAGTTTCTAAGAGATTAGATCTTTCTCTTCTTTTCAAAATGTGTTGGGCTTTTACTGTATTTTATGCTATTTTTAACACGTTTATCATGGTATGATTCCTGTACAGTAAATTATACATATTTCACATTTACAATTGATGAATTTTGATAGATGTATTTGCTCATGAAACCACCACCACAATCAACATAGCTAACATTTCCATCACTCTCCAAGGGGTGCAAATTTCAGACTCCCAACTTATCCCTTCCTACCACTTTTACCCCTTGGTAACCGTAAGTTTGTTCTCTATGTCTGTGAGTCTGTTTCTGTTTTGTAAATAAGTTTATTTGTGTCTTTTTTTTTAGATTCCACATATAAATGATACCTTATGTACACTGTAAGTGAGTCTCTTTCTAGCTTACTTCACTTAGTATGACAATCTCCAGGTCCATCTGTGTTGCTGCAAATGGCATGATTCTATTCTTTTTTATGGCTGAGTAGTATTCCATTGTATAAATACACCACAACTTCTTTATCCAGTCAGCTATTGATGGACTAGCTCTTAATTGTTCTCACCATAAAAAAGAAATGATAATTACGTGACAGGGTGGAGGCGTTAGCTCACACTGCGGTGGCAATCATATTGCAAGATATGTATGTGTGAAACCAACACATTGTGCATCTTAAACTCACACACTGCTATATGTCAATTGTATCTCAATGAAAAATAAATAACATATACAACGCACTTAGATACGGTTCATAAATGAGACAACAAGTATGAGAACACACATTTGATCTTAAAGCCTTGGGGAAATGCCCTTTCAGACACGTGCATCCAAAGTCCAGGCTTGAAGGATGCTCCCAGCACTTGGCTGGTCCCTGATTATACCCATTTACCAGAGCTCTTGGGAGAGAGGAGCTCTGCTTATTAACTGGAAGGAAAGAGCTTTCTTCTAAATATTTAAGACACTGCTAGTAGTTAAAGGGGTGACTGGTGATAATTAGGTCCTCACAGGTGGGTGCTCTATTCAGGTTACATTTGCCGGCTCCTGCACTGAGGGCTATGGTACCTGGGCCCTGGGTTTCAATGATGATGGAAGGATACACCTGTCAGCGGGGTGGATCTGTGCAGCTCTAAAGGCGGCCGAGCGGCCGTGTTTACGTGCACTTTCAGGAAGGAAGAAATAGTAAAAAGCCAGACATTTCTTTAAAATGGCCACAGAGACAACAAAATGCCAAGTGAGGAACCTGGTGTAAGAAAGACCGTGTCTGCCCAAGGGGGGAACCACCAAACCGAGCACAGGGAGGGCCAGACACAGGCTTTCCCTTGAACTGAGCAGTTAGCAAACGTAGCCCGAGATGCCATAAAGGTCTATGTGATTCTAAGGTGGCCGGGATTTTAATAGGTTTGTAGATGCCCCTTAAATCGTGACACGAGGAAGAGGTGCAAAGTGGGAGGCCGCAAAGAGCAGATGGAGAAAAGCCGGACCACGGCCCGCGCTGCCCCGCCCAGCCCGCGCGTCCAGCCGCTCTCCACGGCCGTCTCTGTTCTGCCAGAGGCCGTATGGTTTCTCTCCTTCTCTGAAACCTGGGGAGGCTCTGACTGGTCATGTCCCATCGTGTACACACGGCTGGTGCGTTCAGAGGAGATTCTCCCACCCTGCCTGGTGTGCAATAAAATTCTCCAAAATGAGAGTGGTATTTCTACCTTTGCATTGATTTTTCTGAGCAGGTTTAAAATTATGTTGCCTGTTAACATGTTTGCACAAATAGACAAAGAACCCCCCGCCCCAGAAAAAAAATCACTCCACGTGGTTGAGAGTCTATGAAACATGCAGCCTGGATAAATATTTCTGTTTTTAAAAAAAAATCCAGCAACTTCTAAATTGCCGTTACAACACACTAAGGCAGTTTAACTCAATTTAGCAACTAAGTCAATGTTTAGCGGAGCCCTGATGCGAGGGCCTTATTAAAATCCCCGCTGCTCTGGAGTGTCTGAGGTGGGCAGAAAGGTTAAACTGCACATCAGCTACTGAAGGGAGCTGAAAGGAGAGCCAGCCCAATTAAACCTTCAGCCCTGCTCTCGCGCATAAACACTTGCTACTTTATTCCCCCCGGATGGCCCTGCAAGGAGCTCGAGAGGACCCAGCAAGAACCTTTCGTGGCGCGCCGCGCCGGCCGGGGGTCCGGCCGGGCCCTCCCGGGCGGGGGCAGCTCCGAGCCTCTCTATTAATCATCATCTCGCTCCCAGCACCTGGGACTGACTCCAACTCCCCCGGTTGCTATATTGACAATATTCCCTGTTGATTTCCTCATTTTCTGAGCCAAGGCTAGACTGACCTCTTTAAAATTCTTTATAAACGTCAGTAATTGCTGCATCCAACTTCAATTCATTACTTTCCCAGGCCTCATGTATTTTGATGATATGAAAGTTGACCACATTTACATGCAAATTGAAGTTTTATATTAATAAGGGCCAGTGAAAGGAGATCGCATGGTAATGCGCCATGATGACTTTTAAATACATGTGCTCATGTCTCGGCTGGCATTAGCATGGTCAGACCAGGAGGAAATCATGTTGGTCTGATTGCAATTTTGTTTTCCAATTGAAAGTACAATTTCATCAGGTTTCCCTGTCATTTCTAATAATGACTTAAGTTTGCTTGCTAAATTGGAGAATTTCTCCAGCCTTCGGATGGGCTGGGAAACAGGTGAGGCGACAGCTGCTCCTGGATGAAGTGCCTCATTATGGGTGCGGCCAGCCGTCGGTCCCGGGGGTCTCCTTTGACGATGGGGGCGACACCACCGAGGGCTGCGGGAGCACAGATTGATTATCTTAAGCACATAAACTTTCATCCTAAAACTTTGAAAGCCCGACAATAGCTCAACGGTTCGTCTGCTTATCACCTTTTAACACCACGGCCGACGAGGGCTTAATCTCCCCGAGTGGGGTCTGGTGGCTTCCATCACGGGCTGCATTCGTGTTCTGCAGCTTGGAGGGAAGCTGACTCTTTCTCCTTCCCTCGAAGTGAATTATCTGTCTGAATCAAGAGCAATGTTGTGCATCAATGTCATGAATGAGACGCTGAGATCCAGGACTCCACCAAAAACAGATCGTCAATAGGGACATTTTTCTGACTTACTCCCCTCATTAAGTGGAATGTGGGTGGTTTGCCTACAACACACCCAGATGGGCCAAGGTGCGGAAAGGAAGGCAGTGATAACATCCTCACAGCAGGGCAGGCGCAGGAGCCAAATGGCAGGCTGTCCACCAGAAGGCACCAAAACGTGGTCATTTCCTGTGAATTTAAAACAATTGTTTAGCTTCTCCGTGACTCATTTTATGCAGTTATAAACCATGAGTCTAAATTTTGTTCATCTCTGAGCTTCCTCTTGGCTCTACTAGGTTTGTGAGTCTAAGACGAATGATTTTGGTCCTGGATGATATTTGGGGTAAAATTTCACGTTTGCTCAATGAGATGCCACTTGCATCATTCACATGTTTCCCTCCCTTAAATAGGCTTAATGCGCATCACCTGATTTAGATAAGACGCTAGCCTTTTAGTCAACAAATTCTTAATGCATTCAGCTCTTATCGCGTTTGTTTTATCTCTGAGTAGATAAGATGCCTAGGGCTGACTGAGGGTGAGAAAGGCCACTGGGTTTACTCTGGGATTCTATTGTCTCTGATGCTACAGGACTTACCCAGAGAATTGTCAACATCAGCACACTCCAGCCTCAATTACTCCTCTGGCAGTCTCAGGAGAAGCACTGTGCATTTCATAAAAAAAGTCTGGGGTTCACGGAGAGGCAGTAACTGGCACACATGGTGACTGTGTGGAAACAGAGCAAGGACTGCTTTCCAGTTGACCTGTTTCCGGTTTCAAAGCCAAGTGAAGTCCAGTGCGTACAGTGCTGTGTGTTTATCTTTGCAATCGTAGCAATTACAGCTGCTTCTAAAGAAGACACGACACAGGCTGCACCTCGGCAATGATACCTGACCAGGCAGAGATGGTGCTTCCTCGCCTGTGCGGTTGGAGGGAGAGGAAAGCTCCCACGCCACCTTGCTTGGACAATTGATGTTCGATGATAAGCGCTTGGTGATTAATACGGTAGGTGGTGGAGACCCCAGCCCTACTGGTGTGTGACAAGTGTCTTGTGTGTGATTGTTCAAACGGTGGCTCTAACCTTTGCTTTGGGCCACAGACTCCTGGGAAATTTGATGAAACCTAGCAATTTCCTCCCAGGAAAAAATAACCTCAAGCTCTTTGCCCTGTGTCCTCCCCTCCCCATGGCCCCTCTGCTTCCTCTGGGGCCACACCCGCTTTCATGGGCTCAGCCACACTCACCTCCA